TTTAGGATTACAATTTTTTAGAATGAAGTGCGTCATTTTCGATAATTATTGCTTAAATTTATTCCTCTTAAAAACTATTTTCCTTAGCATTTTTTCGATAGCTGGCCCATTTTTAGGGCAATCTATTCCACGGAATTTTTTTACCCGTATTTGAGAAATTTTCGGGAAAATCTAACACATCACGTATACGTATGTGGCACATCACATATATCTCTTTTTATGTGAAGACCCCAATGACTCTCGTAAGACGTGTCTCGTAACACACACATTTATATGTTTTATTTCCGTACACAAATAGATCGACTATCTTAAATTGTTTTAGGCTAAATGCTGTTTTGACGAATATGGACGGTACTGCTGTGGATACTGTTGTCATGGTGATAAACATAAAGATAAAGACGATGACACAGATTGGTGTAAGTATGTGTATGACACTTCCATGAATGTGGGTGAAGTACGGAACGGTATGAGCGCACTTATTCTGTACGTTGATTGAACATGCTTGTAATTGAAATGTAAACACCACGTTAAACGTATTACCAGTGACAACAAAGCTTACAATGCTTTGGAAGGTGGGTTATGATGTAATCACCTTATGAATAATTACTTAAGTGAATAAACTTCGGCCAGTATGCGGCATACTCACCCACGAGACGGGTCCGATTCATCAACCACAACAACGATTGTCTGTGATTCGCCACCGTATTGTGATGATATTCTGCACGGTTCACCTTATGTATCCCAGAGCTTACATTTAAGCATACATCAACGAATTATGTATAAGCATACATTCAGAGTTACATGCTAAGTAAGCCTTTGGGGTTCAATTACTGAAACTGAATTGCATTTTGTGTTGTTTATGTATGTTTTGTCGTAATAAATGTAAACAATACGTTGACTACCCACACAAAGTGGTGACAGACCAATGTCTTTAGTTATGATGCACGCTCTACTGTTTTTTCTTTTATTTTTTTTTTATTTTAGCGACAATTGTAATAATTGTGCTCATTGTCATTCTTATTGTGACGCTTGTTTGCTGTTGCACACTGATACGACGTCCCTGGATCCGAGGATACTACCACGTGCTGGCGAACCCCGCTGAAACACCTACAACTCCCGTTAATATTGTAACGGCTACGAATCCTGCATATGGATCAGTAGTGAATCCACCCCCATATAGCCCAAATGTATGTAACCAACAAGGTGATCAAACTCAACAGGTAATCTACAAGAAACTTTAAACTTTTAAATTTGGTGTTATATTGTAAGATAACGGCCTAGTACAGTATTCTGAGTTCACGCATGTTGCTTATAATTTCCTTTCCATTAGTTGGCCCATGCGAATTGCAACATGCCTGGTTCAGTTTCAAAATGATCACATGAAGACCGCCCTCAAGTGGTCAGACAAATGCTATTTTGTTTTTATAAGGCTCGACGAAAATTAAATATGCTACAGTTCCTGTTTCTTGCACAACACAAAGTTTTATCCAACCCAACACCAACTTGTGACAGCACTTAATCGACATTTATTTTTAATAATATCTTAACTCGATGTGATAAAAATTTTACAAAATAAACTTTGCACAATTTAGTGTGATAAAATGCAAATTCGTCGTCCTAGATATATTTACAACTATAACGAGTCATCCCACCCGGCCCTGAGTAAGTATGTGTGGTCTCTGAAGTAAATATCCTCCGTTTGTGAGTAATACCTACAGCAACGGTGATGTCATAACACAATTAATCAGATAATATACTATATAGTTACAATATTTAGCAAATTTGTTTTCGTCTATTTACAGTATCAATACGTGCAGTCACAATTGCCGCCATCAGCAGTAAGTTTATGTTTATTATTATTCTCGAATTCGACACTTTTTTTGAACGCATTTGTTTTATAATTGTTAGGTATATACTACTACATATATTGTATTATCACGTACTTCTATGATATTGTATTTTGAGATTCAACATTTGTATTTGGTTTATTGCAGCCGTATGTACCAGCTGACAAATACGTCTAAAGGAAGTCTGTCGCGTGATTTATACAAATGGAACATGACGTCAATATCTGAGAACGTACCATCTTTTTTTTCTGCACCATCTCTCATTTGTGTGTTATTCTAAGTTTAAGAACCATAATTAAATGTTTGATAGCGCCGTGTGTGTATACTTTCGAGAAACACAACCATTTATTTTATTTTATTACATGTGTACTTTAGTTTCCTCAAATAAAGTCGGTATTTTCACTTCCGATATGCAAATGAACAAAAAAAAAACATAAAAACTTACATGGGTTATCACCATGTGTGATCTTGAAATACTCAGGAATGAACATCATATAGCATCACGTAATGCACAAATTGGGGTTAGAATTCTGAGTTTGTCATGGTGATATTTATGACGTTTCCGATCGACCAGTATTTTAACTTGAGATATGCAAATAAGTATGCAAATCACACGAGACGGTCGGAACTTTTTTGATTTAATATATATTTTGTCGCCAGCTTCCGTTTACTGTATTCGTTTGAGTTTAATGGACGCACATTATGATTTAAGACATTTTACTGAATATTAGGAAGGAATAGAGCCAAACGACGTCAAGATACGTGGGACGTTCTACAAAAGTCGCTACAAGGAAATCGTCATGAAGACTAAACGCGAAAAATCGCCGTTTTTCTTATCAAAAATAATCTTCATATTCGTAGTTGTATTCTTGCATACATCGGCGTTATGGCAATCAAGTATGTAAACTCCAGTTGACACTGGTGCACTCTAACTACTCCGAAATTTGGTAGTATAATTTTCCGAAGTAGTGAAGAAGCTGTGTCAATGCCGACAAGCATTGAAGTAAATAGTGTTATATTAATTTAATGTATTTTATTTGCATAATTGGCACAAGTGCTATATGATACCCATCCTGTCTTATGGGGTTTTACTCGATAGACTTTTTCTATAAATAACCCTCTACCGACGACGATGGCGTCAATGGGCAACACGGAACGTAATTCATATGAAGGTGAACTGAGTGACTACCTTACATTTCACCAAATTTAGCACGGATGTTTTGTTCTACGTGATTTAAATCCGGGTCCGGGGTCAAATCAAAGTCACGTACAAACATGGTTTCAAACTGAGCTGAATTTAATCTTATTTTTGTCCACTTTTGATTCACGGCAACAACGCATGTTGTGCCTCAGAACGGGTGGGAGCAATGGATGTAGGGTGTATATATGTTATCACCCGACACTTTGTACTTCGACCTGAGATAACTACCGTGACGCATACGGCTGGGCCGTGTAAAGCACGGCGTCACTGACTAGATAACTTCGACACAGTCGTCAACACCATGTCCACAGCCTTGCTAGTACCGTGACCCACTGTAAACGATACAGAAGATACGCACTGATTTCAACAAAGGTACATTCGAAATTCTTAGAGGTGAGACTCAGATATGTGTTCTTCGTCACGGTGTGATTACACAATGAACTAGCGAGTAGTATAATATCTATTCCCTTCGCATTCGATTCGCCCAATTCACCGGTAATAGTGTGTTTACTGACTCATTGCTCATGTAATGTCCATCCTATATTATTGCGCTGATTTGCCATTATATCACTGATAATAATAATAATAACGAATTATCTATTTAACAACAATGAGATTCGAAGCTCAGTAGAACTTGTCGAGATCGTTTGGTGTAAGCCAACCTTGAGTGCAGGTTTTGTTATCACAACGTCCTAACGATTCGTCTATCAGTTTACCATCGTAACTAGACTTAGTCAGCAGCAACTATCGTCCACAACAATGGCGTTATTATATTGTGATGAGTTGCAATTTGCATCTGTTAAAAACCGGATAATGTAAATCGTCGGTGAACATTGGGAGGAGTAACATTCCCACCGTAATATTGCATATATTCGGTAGTTCGGTAAAACACGGGAAATTTAATGGAATCAGTAATATTTATATTGATAGTGTTCACTAACCTTGAAGGTAATGATATGTCGGTTAAAGTTCACGTCAAAAAATAGTTAATGAGAATCACAATCCGTGACATAACCTGTGTCAGACTACCTAGCGAATACTAAGTGAATTCACGGACACATGTATTGGGATATTTGTCAGTCAAATTATGCAAAATATAGGTTTGTTATGATTCAGTGTCGTGACAGTACGTTTAAGATAACATGATTATAATTTCTATGTTTTCGAACTTTGATCGACTCGAGGTTGAGTTAAATTGGATGTTCTCGTAGAGGGCGCCACATCATCAAAATAATTTACACACCATACCAACTGAATACGGTAGCCGATGGGGGGCACGGCTTTGCTTTTTGAAAAGTGTTACGTTCAAGTTTATATTTCATTTTTTTTCGTATTTCACGCATAATTAGCAGTTTTATTTACATTTTAAAATTATTTTGTCGATTATTGAAACGTTACATTTTTCAAAACGCATGTCCGCGATCCTCCCTGGTTACTTGTACCAAAAGATAGGAGGCCTATTAACCTTTTAAAATTCAAACGACTGTTACTTGCATCAGTAACCAGATGTTGATAAAAGAATTATACACCGGCGCATGGACGGAGTTAAGAAAACTCTCAGTAGCATGATAGCACGCGACACAATGCAAAATATACCAATGCACAGTTCGGCAATGCAGGAGTTCAAAATGTTTAGAACAGAATCAGCGAACTTCTTTGTGTAGAGTCCGGTAAAACTCTGGTGGGAGCCATGTTTGTTTTATTATAAGAGAACGCTTATTTCACGTAATCATTCCATATTTGGAATTTGCCGTATTTCCTAATTTGGTAGGATGAAAATATCACGTAAAATACCCCAAAATTACGGCACGCTGTAACTTATGGCGTTACGGTGACAGATGTATAATAATTATATATTGATGCAAATGTATTCTTCAACATACATCAGTATTACAAATTAAATGTTTTTCATCTGTGTTGCAGTTCTCAGTTCAAAACTATTCTGTGCGATTTAAAAAGTAACAATTGACATAAATAAACTTGCGAAATTAAATTTGACATTCAAATTGGACTTTCAGAGCTGTCCAATAGATACACACACTAACAAAACAAATTTGAGTTCATATTAGTTAAACAAAATTGATGTTTTCTTTTTGTTTTGTTTTTTCATGTTAGTATGTTTTGAAATGTTTCATCATATCACTGCGAATAATGGCATAACATGTTTGAAATGGATTCTGAATACGTCGACGAAGATTGGGGTACGTGTCTCTAATTGATGTATACATATAGTACGAAATACTCTTATAGATAAATATCCACAAACAATATAACATCAAGATACTATTAATATTTATTCCTCACAGGCGTGTGGCTTGTTGTCGGCGTTTGTATGGTTGTATTGATTGTCATGTGTAGCTGCTTAGCACTTGCGAAATCGTGTTCATGTCGCGATTCTTCGACAACTGAACACGATGAACTCATCGGCATGCCAAGCCAAGAGGAGCCTTTGCCACCTGCTGACTATAACCGCCTACCTCCAGCATATGGAGCGGTTTTAGTATTGGACAATTCTCCTAAAATGATTGATGCAGTTTACCCCGATAACCAGGTAAATTGTCAATAATAAATGAATCCTGATTCAGGGGGGGGGCACAACATTTTGCATGGGGAGGGCGAGATCTGCTCACCATCCCTCGGGTATGCTCCTACGGAAAATGTTGAAATCTAGACCCTATGAAACGCTATTTCCTGCATTATCGAGGGGCAAGACAGGCATTCCTATTCAACTGTGTTGCATCGTTACAAATACACAAAGGGAATTAGCTTGATTGGGGGTGCGATTGTTCTTGGTTCGTACGTGCTGATTTGTTTATTAGTTAACTAGTAGGATTTAGGTTCGCTGCTAGACGAATACAAACATTTTATACGTTTTTCAAATGACAAGTATCTTTCCATTTTCACATGTTGTATTGTTGTTGTTGTTTTTTTCAGGTAACGCTTGGGGAGAGCGGGCGAACGACGTACGTGAATAATACATAGCAAGATTTATGAAGGATTTCAATAATTGTTGTACATTCAAACGCACCTCAATTCTATTTCACCAAACGATAGAGAAACTTAGTACAGGCTAATTGAGGTCGTGGTTTATCTGCTAGAAGAAATTAACCTGTACTAAGTGATTCTGACCAACTGCGCACCACTTGTGAACGCAAGCACGTAACTCAGTCAACAACAATTATTTTTTTCTTCTATTTTGACAGTATGGTCCGTTATATTAACGCGCCATTTCAACATAATAAGTTATTCATTTACTTGTATTGGTGTAACTAGTGTTCTACGTGAGGCGCGTGCGCAAACGCGATAACTAAATAGTATTTGTTTTTGCAGTATTTCAGTGGAAAATAAAATCGTTTCTGTTAGAAGGTGATATAAATCACGGGATTACAGATTCGTTGATTTTCGGTGATTCACATCATGCAAATACTCGTCTGTCAATATCGTATCAATCGCTACAATATGTTATTCTTTAAAACACATGTGACGTATAATAACAGTTACAGCGAAATCATGGAGTTTAATGAATACAGCAATTCACACAATTTTAACGAGAAGCTCCATAGTTCATGTATGTTCAAGACGGACGTTCGTCTGCATATTACGTAGAAATAATGAGTGCGAGAATGGCGTTGATTTCTATCTCCCACTGGTTTCCATGGTTCCCGGTGTTCTGGTGATCTATCGAAAATTAACACGTTAACGTTGTTGAAAAACCTTTCACGTGAAATTATGTGCAACACGGTGATTAAATAAAAACAATATTATTTATTCATTATTGTTCCTTGTCATTGTTCGGATAAGTTTTATAAAGCTAGACATTTGTAATATATATTAGGGACGACGTCAAAAGATCGA